TCTAGTAACATGTCGTGACTTAAACATAAGAACATATTATGGCTAAGGCTACAGTTATACATGTCATAATAATAATATTAAACATCCTGTCTGCTGACAGTCATCAACTCTTCTCTCTAGTTATCCTTGACCAGATGTACCCTGTAGAAACTCATAAGCATGACTAAGCATTTAACAGTCTAACTAGACATCCTATCTCCACTAAACATTTCTAATACATAAAGTCTCTATCCAATTTCTATCTGACTAAAAATACCTAACAGTAGTTTGGTGCAAGGAAGAAACTGCTGCACTTTTCTAAAGAACATATCAAACTACAACTGTCTACAATGCACAGACACGTCGAGGTTTTCCTTCAGCTTTCAGCTCTTATGAAAGTGGGGGGCTTCATTAGGACCCCACTGCAGTGCCTCATCAAAAAACAAAAAGTGGACCTGAAGCGGACCAGAAAGAGGACTGAGCCTTCTTTCAAATGCACTCACAGCATGAACACAGTAAGAACTGGGTCCCCTTTTTGGTCCACTTTAAGAGGACTGGGCTTGGTGCATTTACAAGTGACCAAATGTGAAAACACCCCGATTCATGGGGTACCTCAAAAGTCACATTTCTCTGATTTCGTTGATAAGAGAGATCAGAGTAGCAAAGAGGATCTACTCCAAAAAGCTGAAAAACCACTTTTCAGCTGCTCCCCACCCCTGACAATCTGTGAAGAGGCTCTCTTTAAAAACAAAAGCTCAGGAAGGCACTAGGTCCAGATGGTGTGACTCACTCCTACCTGAAACCTTGTGCCCATCAGCTGGCTCCTGTCTTCACACTTTCTTCAACAGGTGAAGTCCCCTCCTGCTTCACACGCTCTACCGTCATCCTGGTCCCTAAGAAACCCTCCATCAACTGACTGAACGACTACACACCTGTTGCCATGACATGTGTAGTTATGAAGTCCTTTGAGAGTGTCATGATTCTGTCCTCTCTGCTTCCGGTCTCGTGCTTTTATTTTGACACTACTTCCTGTTACAGTCTCATCTCAGCTACGGACTCTTTACCCTAATCAGTGGTAATTATTTGCACCTGTTTCTACCCCTTTTATAGGCAGCTTCCCCACACCAAGAAGCTGCCAGATCGTTCTAACTCCTGTTCAAACTTTCCAGCGGTTTTTTCTGTACCTGTTATTCCAGCTTTGACCACAGATTACCTTGTGACCACCAAGTACTGCCTAACCCCTCTGATTCTGCTCATGTTTTCTGTGTATTGACTATTGGACTCCCCTCTCTGACCTCTTGTTTGTGGATCTCTGGGCTGTGTAAGTTTGCTGGCTCTGTCCCTGGACTGTATTATCAACCTGAGAGTTTTACGTGCTGAAACAGAATCCTGCTTTGTGTTATCGTTGTTTGTTACCAGTGCTCAGATTAAAGAGACAGCGTTCTGCTAAACTTCGTCTGGCTTTATAATTGACATTTTTGGCAGCTTTACATGCCAATCCTGACAGAGAGACTGGTGTTGACACACATGAAGGACATCACAGACCCCCTGCAGTTTGCCTTCCAGGCAAACAGGTTGGTGAATGATGCAGTCAACATATCACTGCATTACATCCTGCACCACCTCAAGTCCCCAGGGACCTATGCACGGGCCCTCTTTGTGGACCTCAGCTCAGCGTTCAACACCATCATCCTGGACATCCTCCACTCTAAACTGACCCAGCTCACTGTGCCTGCCCCCATCTGTCAGTGGATCACCAGCTTTCTGACGGACAGGAAACAGCAAGTGAGGCTTGGGAAAACCACATCCAGCACCCGGACAATCAGCACAGGTGCCCCCCAAGGATGTGTGCTCTCCCTGCTGCTGTTCTCCCTCTACTACACCAATGAGCTGCACCTCAGATAGTTAACATGAGGATGTATCATCATATCAGAAAATTTCTTTAAAACCCTCTCATTTTGTGTACTTTACTCTGTAATTAAGGGAAATGGAGTTCTATTTAGTACAGTATGTTGTCTTTGAGTGAACAGGTTTGACCTCTATCCTCTGTCTCTCTTGTCTCTTTGTTTTCCAGGTCACACAGGTCATTTTATCAGAGCAGTATTTTGTACCAGTCTGCTCTTTGTGCTGACTCATATCTGCTTCCAGACGGTACTATATACGTATCCTCCTCTCAGCATTGCCATAGGTGATAACTGTTCACAATGGGACACCATAACCAGGCATATAGGAGTGTCCAGGTATGTAACTAGTGTGTGATTAAGTGTAGCACAAGTTATCCACTGTCATTCATATTCATGTATTGTTTCTTCTAATTGGAGAAAATGTTGTTGATAAAAATATGAGAGTGTGTTTGTCCAGACAGTCATCTGCTTGGTGCAGATTTGATGCCCATACTTCAAGTGGTAAGGGCAGATGGACCTGGAGACAAATGTATATACAGAATAAAGGACCCCTTGTAATTGTTGTCAAAACTTAGTTCACGTCAATGACAATAGCTTACAACTACAGATTCTGTTCAGTTCAATTTTATTGGTATAGTGCCAAACCACAACAAATGTCATCTCAGGGCCTTCCCAGTGCATCATGGGAGGATCCCCAGCCGCCTAGGCCTATAGCAGCATAACTAAGGGAAGGCTCAGGGTCACCTGATCCAGCCCTAACTATAAGCTTTATCAAAAAGGAACGTCTTAAGTCTAATCTTAAAGGTAGAGAGGGTGTCCGCCTCCTGAACTGAGACTGGGAGTTGGTTCCATAGGAGAGGAGCTTGATAGCTAAAGGCTCTGCCTCCCATTCTGCTTCTGTGGACTCTAGGAACCACAAGTAAACCTGCACTCTGAGAGCGAAGTGCTCTGTTAGGATGATAAGGCTCTACGAGGTCTTTAAGATACGATGGAGCCTTGTCATTAAGGGCTTTGTATGTTAGGAGAAGGATTTTAAATTCTATTCTGAATTTTACAGGGAGCCAGTGGAGAGAAGCTAATACAGGAGAGATATGATCTCTTGCTAGTTCCTGTCAGTACAGATAAAATACATAAAATGAAGATCAAAATAAATAGACAAATAAAAGGTCCGAAACACGATCCAGCAGTTACATTACAGTTGCAGTCATTCTGGACAATGATGACTCACAAATGTAGGCCGTAGGGAAGGGGTGCGGGATATTCATGGCCTCAGAATTCATGTCAGGCCAAAATTTAATCTTCAGTGTCACGGGAAAGTCCAGCAACTGTTCTTCTGCTTTACCAGTAAGGCCACTTGAAGTTGTTGCAATTTGGAGAAAAGCATCTTGCATCCAGTCTCAGGCACTTGTGTCCAAATCAGAGAAGTATAAACTGAAGGCCAGGCTCAGTGCAGGGAAGTGAGAGGTGGCCATATGTTTCACTACATCCACAGACAGGCTGTTCATGTGGAGAAAATCTGTCAGTCGGGGAAACACATCCATGGCTCCCACCTTCATTCTTCTTCTCTGTAGCTTAGTTTTTAAACAACTGCAGCGTCTCTGACTTCCAGGATGGATGTGTAAACCCCTTGGATGGAGGTTGGACATTGAGGTTGTTCAGTAGGTTAAATATGACCACCAGATCAGCAGGCACCCATCTCCTTGCAGAGTCAGCCAAAGAAACATGATCGTAAATGCTCACTGTGGTCACAACAGTGTTGACAACTGAGTGAAGCTCTGGCTACATCCCTTTGGATGCAAGTGTTTGGCAGTGCAGCACACAGTGCTACAACATTCAGGTTGACAGACTTCATCCCTAGAGCAGCTCTGCTCTTGACTCCCATCATTAAGAATATACTGTTTTATCAGCTATTCATTGATTTGTAATTTTTGATGATTCTTTTTCTCAGACCCCTGGTGTCATGGACCATTTACAATCACTTATGTAAAGAACATTGACTAGACAGCAGACATTCAAATGTAATACACAACTGGGTTATAAATGTAGGGCATAAGCAGTCAGCATTGTAGTGTGTAAGTATACAGTATAAACAAAAGCACTTGGAAAATCAGCAACTGGAGCATACTTGTATACAAACAGTACAACCTGAGGTGAAATCTGTGTAGAATATTTTAGGAAATACCATAATACAAAACCTCCACTGACCTTCACCAATAATGGGTGTGTGTATTTCACAGGCTTCCCTTGGATGAGCCATGGAGTGTGTTACGCCTTCTGTGTCCTGACCTGGGTGTGTGTCTGGTTGCCTTGGTAACAATTGTCCTCTGCAACAGATTGGTCAGGAACAGACAAATGGTGGCTGCTGCCAACATTACATCGGTGAGTCATTGTGTGTGAATGCGTGTGTGTGTGTTTGTGAGAGTGAAAGATTTAGCTGAAGGGGTCACTGTATTGTTGGAATCAAACAAAGTGGACACATTGTTTTGACAAATGTTTTACAGTGAAATGATAATCACATTTATGATCAGCCTGGTTCAGGAGTTACACCAGTGAAAACCTCAGCTCTGTCTTCACCACAGTGGTCTGGTATAAAACCTGCATTACTGCTGATGCTACACCAATCCACCTGTCAATCTCACGATCCGGTTTACCCCTTCAATGAGCGAACAAGACCCAGAGATACTTAAAGGTGTATTAGCTAAGATTTGACACATTTTTTTCATAAATACAGTTAAAAGGGGACAGGGCGTGGTGCCTCTCAGCTAGACTACTTGAACCCATTTATAGTGGTGAAATTATTCTGCTTGGTGAACAAGTGTGTTTTGCAGTCAGGCCTGCACACCCATACACACACACACACGCGTATGCATGCTGTCCATCTACCTCCTGCTTTAAAATCCTCCCAATAGCAAACAATGTTCAGATGTTACAGCTCTATTTGTTAGAATTTCTCCTTTCTGTTATTTTATAGACTGTAATATACCTTGATATGCTTCCCTGTCTTTCTCCATTATCTGGGTTTTCATATCACTCTCTTTTGCCTTCTTGCTTTCATTCTTTTCTGTCTCCAGGCCAACCACCCAAACACACAGTACACAGATGTACAGAAGGTCGGGAAAGAAGGAGAGAGTTGAATCTGAGTAAAAGACACATTCCAGTAAAAGTTTTGAGAGAGTCTTATGGAATAACAACTTTAGCATTTCTTTGTTTTTGCCCTGCTAGCAACAGGCTCTATTTATGGCAGCGCCAGGTGGTTGGCGAATCCAGCACTCCCAGAGCAGGACATCACAACTACTGGGTAGATTAACATGGCATTTGTATGGTCTCTAGAGGCTGATTCTTAATGATTTTGGTGATCTCAGTGATGTACGGTAACAAGGTGTTTCAAAACCTACAGAGACAATGGCAATGAAATGTGCGGTGGATATGTATGATTTTGTCTGTCTGACTGAATCATTTAACACACAGCAGTTAAGTCTTATTTGCAGGAAGAGACAGACTTAGCATGATATTCCTGTCTCTATACTTAGTAACTTCAGATCGTTGCCACCTGTTACTTCATATCATGAGTGTTTTGAATGTATTACTCACAGTGATATTAGACCTTGTGTAACTTTATCTCTAGTTATTAGTAGCGACATGATTAGGAGGAGTTTTTTTTTTTATTTTTTTTTTTATACTTGGCCAGATTTATGTTGTAAATCTGTGATGACACCTGATAGCCTGAGTATTGCACCTGCAGGCTTTAACACTGAGTGGGAACATGGAGGGCAGCTGCCTTGTTCAATAAACTGAACATCTGCAGTGCATACAGGAGCAGGGGCCATATAAAGTCTCCATTACACTGAGAATTACAAACACTAAACATTTTTGTATGCAGTAAAGAAGAATCGTGCAGAAGTGAAACCAAAATGTAACTTTTTTTAATAACCACTCAATTTTTATGGTGAACCCAGAGTGTTACTCACATGCAAGAACAAGATATCGATATCCTTAAATAAAGAAGTGACTTGACATCCATGTCTGTAACAAAACCGTCTGCCCTCTGTATTTAGGGACTGCCCAGTCAGGGGTGTTGCTCAGCAGAGGGAAGCAGACACGGGGCTGGTGAGCAGCCTTGTACGTGTAGATCCCACAGCACACACCACAGTAAATAAGCAAGTTATGAATTTGTTTGCTGATTCTAGAGGGAAAAACATACCCATACCAGATCATGTTGAACAATGCATGGGATCATGAGGAGAGTATGTGCTGGACTTTCATGTGAAAGTAAAAAGACTTGTGGGAGAGTCTGGGTACTTTTTCTGTCTATCATTACTTGGCTGTCCTGCCTGCATAATGTTCATTATCATTCTTCAGAAATGGGAAAGTACGGGAGATTGACAGGTGGATCGGTGTAGCTTCTGCAGTAATGCGGTCGATGTACCGGTCCGTCGTGGTGAAGAAGGAGCTAAGCTGTAAGGCGAGGCTCTCGATCTACGTTCCGATTCTCACCTATGGTCATGAGGTTTGGGTCATGACCAAAAGGGCAAGATCCCGGCTACAGGTGGCCGAAATGG